CCTCAAGGTACCAGCAGGTGAAAGTTCTTGTCTTCAGCTTCCTTGGCGGTAGCAGAAAATGTCGCGCATTGAGCAAGGCGAGTGCAAGAACCAAACAAAACTCAAATCACATGCTATTTTTAAACGCCCAATAATTTCCACAAATGTGCTAAAGTCTGAGGCTGCGAACCAGTTCTACGTCATTTGGAACATACGTGGGCCACCATGTTATATGTAAGAAATAAATGTTAGCACTGACATACTAACCTCAGCAAAAAATGAAGGCAGAGAGCTTAACCATATCAGTGGCTGGTTTGCTACCCTGCACGTAGCTACTCTAGATAATACCCACGGAGAAGAATTCCTCCGTCCTGGGAGCAACGAAATATTAAAATACATAACTGAGCCAATAAAAGCATAGAAAACATTAATTGTAGTCCCTAACTGTAGGATAGTAGTCATTACGTCAAATTGAAATGAACAAAGTCAACGGAAAATGCGTCCTTTCTGTCTGTGGAATCCGAACGCAAAACCTACGATTTACGTGTTCAATGCTCCACTAATTGAGCTGCGAGGCCTCCCCATCAGCTCCTTTGGGAAATTGTGTGTGTGTAATCCATAAAGTGTTAGAAAGTGCCACTAATAGCGAAGGTGGTGAATGTGGAGCACTAATGATAAGTCTTAAGTCAGACATCGTGTCTCCTGACAATACGTGATGTCTGAACAGTGTCCTAACAGTATCTATCAGAGAGCCCAGAAAGGACTTTCATGGGACATATTGCTGGTTTTAACTTCGAAGCTTTTCTTAATCGCTTTAGTAAATACTAAAGGTGTTTCCAATATCCGAGTGGAGACATCTACTAGACATTTCATCATCATCAGCCTAATTAAACTGACTGCAGGGCAAAGACCTCTCCCACGTGCCACCAGTCAACCCAGTCTTGCGTTTTCTGCTGCCACATTATACCTGTAAACTTCCTAATCTCAACTGCCAATCGAATTTTCTGTCCCCCTCTGACGCATTTCAATTCGGTTGGAATACAGTCAGAGCTAGACCTTTAATGACCAGCTTTTATTCAGCCTAGCGCTTCGTGCTAGGCCCATGTCCATTTATTCTTGTTTTCAACTATGATATCCTTAACCCATATTTGCTCACTGACCGACTTTGCTCATTTCCCGTCTCTTGAAGTCACACCCATAACTTTCCTTTCCACTGCTCACTCCGTCGTCCTTAATTGAAGCCGAACCCTCTTTGCAAGCCTCCAGGTTTCTGCTCCGTAGGTGCAGTAGGTGCAGAAACCAGGAAAAACCGTTAAGATGCAGCAGTTGTGTACTTTTTTCTTGAACGATAGTGGTAGACTACCATTATTGATTTGAGAATGCCAAATGTGCTCCATCCCATCCTTATTTTTCTAGTAATTTCGACCTCATGGTTCAGCTCCACGGTTACTTCTTGTCCTGAGTAGGCGTTTTCTTTTACAACTTCCAGTGTCTCGCCGCCTGTCGGAAAGCGCTGTTCTCTTTCGAGACTGTTGAACAATATTTCAGTTTTATGTATATTAATTTTTAGACCTACTTTTTTGCTTTCCATGTTGATTTCAGCAATCATGATTTATTTATTGATATGTGGGGTTTAACGTCCCAAAACCACAATATGATTATGAGAGACGCCGTAGTAGAAAGATTTGGAAATTTCGACCACCTGGGGTTCTTTAACGTGCACCCAAATCTGACCACTTGGGCATTTCAGTAATCTTATTCCTAATTCTCTTAATTTAGGGCCCTGATAACCTCCAGTAAACACGAGCTGAATGGTATTAGAGACATTCTGTCTCTCTGTCATACATCATTCTTTATTGGGATTGTATCACTTTCTTTATGAAAGACTATGGTGGCTGTTGATCAGCTGTATATATTGTCGCGAGCAAAAACAAGACCTGCAGCCAGGAGTTCACCTGAACCCGAGCAACGAAAATGTTCTCTGCCTCTTCGTCACCCAAAACGGGTATGAGCCACAGCGGCTCGTTCATCTATGGTGGCATTACTCCCTCTCCCAAGAAGCATCGTCTCGATGCTGTACATGAATGCAAAAAAAAGGAAAATGAGATGAAAATTACCATGCAAGCAAAATGAATGGCATAAGGCGGAATAACATAGTTGGTTGTGGAGCCAAGAGTTAAATGAGAAATAAGAAAAATAGGAAAGAATGTAAGGGAGAGATGAATAAAGTAAGTCACTCACTGGCGATTCACAGCTCGAAAAGTATGGTTTGAGCCGTGAAACTTGAATGACTTCAGTTCACGGCGTGAAACGGGAACGTCTCGAAGTGCCTTCTGGGAGAACCTCGTATGTGACGTCGCTGAGACGTCGTACGACCTTGTAAGGGCCGAAGTAGCGGCGAAGAAGCTTTTCTGAACGGCCAAGTTGTCAGATAGGGGTCCACACCAAGACTTCATCACCGGGCTTGAAAATAACTTCACGGTGACGAAGATTGTAGCGGCACGCGTCTGCGGTTTGGTTGAATACGGTGACGAGCAATTTGACGGGCCTCTTCTGCACACTGCGCGAATTTGGTGGAATCGGTGCGGTATATTCCTAAGTTGTCGGGCAGGAGCATGGCGTCAAGCATCGTCGTGACCTCGCGACCGTGGACTAAGCGAAAAGGTGTGAAACCGGTACTTTCTTGAGCAGCAGTGTTATACGCAAACGTTACGTAGGGAAGTATGGCGTCCCAGTTCTTGTGATCGATGTCCACGTGCATTGACAGCATGTCTGCAATTGTCTTATTGAGTCGTTCAGTCAGCCCGTTTGCTTGCGGGTGGTAAGCCGTTGTTTTACGATGTTCCGTGCCACTTAATCGCAAGACTTCCTGCAGCATCTCTGCGGTGAAAGCTGTCCCACGATCAGTTATGACGACAGCTGGAGCACCGTGACGTAAGACGATGCTGTTCACGAAAAATTGGGCGACATCTGCTGCGGTTGTTTTTGGAAGCGCCATGGTTTCACAGTAGCGTGTTAAGTAGTCGGTAGCGACCACAATCCACCGGTTTTTAGACGAAGACGTGGGGAATGACCCCAGCAAGTCCACTCAACTCTGATGAAAGGGCGCCTTTGGTGGGCCTATTGGTTGCAGTAGTCCTGCTGGTCGTAAAGGTGGAATCTTACGTCACTGACAGTCGCGACATGTCACCACTGATGACACCATTGATGAACAAGCCGCCGTGGCTCATACCCGTTTCGGGCGACGAAGACGAAGAGAACATTTTCGTTGCTCGGGTTCAGGTGAACTCCTGGCTGCAGGTCTTGTTTTGGGAGATGTAGCTGTCTCCACGATGGCCGACACAGCCGAAGTACACGTACCCAGCACCTCCACCAGTAATGTCGCAAGCAAAAAACAAGACCTGCAGCCAGGAGTTCACCTGAACCCGAGCAACGAAAATGTTCTCTTCCTCTTTGTCGCCCAAAACGTGTATGAGCCACAGTGGCTCGTTCATCAATAGTGGCAATATCTTTCAGTGTTAAATAGGCTTCGCCGATTCCCTCAGTGCGCAGTGCCTGCATGACTGCTGTTGTCTTGACCGAATTAAATCCCTTCTGGTAATTAGTGAAGTTAGACATTTACTGTGTGCCTGTGTGTTTTCTTGGGTGTGTGATGGCGCCGTGGAGAGAGGAGCCATTGGAGTTCATTCAAGGATGACGCAGGCCACACATAAACCTCAGCGTTGTGAAACTTCCCTTTCTCATTTTCCATTATTATTTCCTAATGTCACGTGTAGGGTAGACAACTGGAAGTTTTTGTGGTGAGCCCTCTCTTGTGCCTCTCTGCTTCCTCTATTCTTGTCGGTAGCATTGCCAATGTCAAGATAAAGTGGAAAACCTGCATGACCATCTAAACCATCAGGTTGGGAATGAAGTATGTTAGGTTCATTCGCATCTTGTAAGAGAAACCTTTTTTTTTAAGTTTAGACCTGAAAAAAAAAGTCGTGTGCTGAAAAAACTCAGTCTGGTGTTTTCAATGTGTTCTAAAGATACAGTATTGTTGTGACCGTGTTTAACCATCAAGTGCGGTTTAGAAATCTTCTTTTTTATTCACAGAGACCACAACGCTGAAAGCTTCCAAGAGGGGTCTACTAAATAACAACTTTCATCCGCACGTAAAAGCTTTCACTTTCGCGAGAACTGAATACAAGGCTCCAGCATGTTTTCTAGAACACTTTCACTATGGGTAGCTCGAGTGCCAGCAACCGCCGACTTTTGCTGTGCCCTCGATAAGTCGACTGAGCTCGCAGAGCATGAACGTCTGGCAGGGCCCGTAATATCTTGGTTTGTATGTTTGTATGCACATATTTTTTCAGTCTTTTTGTTTATACGTTGCTTTTTACGCAACGTGCGGCTATCACGTGGCCTGGCTTATGTAAGCAAATTTAGCAACTTCGGTACAACATTCGTGTCCTTGCCAGCATCTAATGGACCGCGTACAATGTATCCTTATCTTATCGACTGTCTAATGTGACGGTTGCGGGCCTGGTTCGTATACGAGACGAGCTAAAATAACAAAGTTGGGTGTACATGTCTCAACTCGATGTAAACAGAACGGGTCTAGCATACCTTAGCAAACTGTCCCGATATTGTTTTTCGGCATGCGCGAATACCACCTTTGTTATTACAGGTTGGCAAATATAACTGTTTGTACTTGCACCATGCTGGAACAAGTATATCCACGTTAGCACGACACCAATATGACCGCTTTAGGTCACACCAGTTTGCACCAAAATAGCAAAGGTGTGAGCTCTCATAAACAAGTACTTTTACTTTATGATTACATCGCTTTGCTATAGACTTATGCGCTTAGTTTAGTCAAATGTTGGTCATGGTAAGAAGGCAAGTGTGTTTCATCGGTCTAAAATACCGTACAAAACGATAATGTGGTGCTTTTCAGCGTGTCTGCTTCTGTCAACTGTTCTTCATTGGGATGAAAGCTCGTTGCACTTGGGCAAGAACTAACATGAAGAAGAATTTACCCGATAGAGCGATGAAGGCGTCTCCTGGGACTCCTTCTCGATGGTAGTGCGGACTTCCTTGGTGATGCCCGTGAGGGGATCCTTAATATGCTCCACCGAACTCTTCACCTCGCGCATGGTGTCGGGACTCTTGTCCTGCATTTTGCGCCCACAGAAAAGTACAAATTTTAAATGGCTAACATACGCATGTTGCGACATTGTAGTTAACAGTGAAAAAAGAACGCCAATTAAAATAAAACCCTCTAACAAAACAACATTCTCCAACATTGACGCAAGGTTGTGAAAACAGATGTCACTTGTCTTCAGTGATGCTGCGGTATGAAATCACCAACGAAGCTTCATAAAAGTCTTGTGCTTTCGCGAGAAAATTCGTAACAACGTTCTATAAACTGCAATTTAAATGTAACCGTAAGTCATGTATAAATGCACTGTTTTACCGGTAGCCGGCATATTTCACTTGTTCTCCTTTTTCGTGTAGATTTTGTAAGTATTTCGTGTGAATTTTGTTGATATTTCTCGCAGCAAAATAATGTCGCTGTATGCATGACATGCAGCTGATTAGTTATTTCAAATTTATTAAAAAGTTTTGAGAGACCCAATTGGCCCCTGCCAGTGGAGACTCAGTTGGCTAATCCTGACCGCCGCATCTTTGGCCATACATTTAGTGTAATATTTGCGGCCCATTGAAGCCTCTCTCCCTTTTGAAGCCTCTCTAGTTTGGTGATCGAAGCTGGCTGTTCGTTTACGGAACCACTGGACGTTTTTGGGCTTTTCAAAACGCTTTCGAAAGCCTTATTCATGATGTGAGGAGATAGCAAATGAGAATGAGAAATTTCGAAAGAATAAATTAATCACTTGTTGAGTGAGGTATTTTTATTGAGTGTCGCGAACGCCATATGCGTTAAAAATGCATGTAGCCTTTTTCTCTGTTCAATAATTAGTAGTTACCTGATGGCGAAACATTGCTCAACTCAGTCTGTGCGTCATCACGTGCAAGTGAATGAAAATGTCGGTCCTTACTTATGTACGTATAAGCCACAGGTGTTGTTTGCCGAGAATTTATTTACTCGTTTGAGGTAACTCAAGGGGATGTGAGATTTTTCGGCCACCTTTCACCTGGATTTTGCACACCACTGATTTTTTTTTCTGCAACTCGTACCTGTAGCGCTTCATTACCTTCCATATGGGAGTCAGCATAATGAGTTTCGATCAGCTCTAATTTTCTAGCGTGCCACATTCTCTTACACTTTAAGGAATAGTCGGAGAGGGCTCATTATTACAAATTGATCGAGCTTGCGGACTGCTAACGAACAAAGGTTCTGACCAAAAAGGCAATATTTCTGCCACATGCGTGCTTCTTAAGATTCAACATTTCTCTACATAACGTACCGATGCCTTTGTTGAAATGAAGGCAAACCTGCAAGGATACGTTTACGAGATATGAGCGTGGCTTGCACTAGATTATCTGAATGTAATTAGATCTGATGCATTATTGAAAAACTTCTCCAATTTGTAGGCGCTTGTTCCGCTAACCAAAGTTAAGTCAACGTAGTTGTAATAATCTTTTATTACGTCTCTCACAATAGGTACATTGAAAGGGGCAAAATAAATTTTAAATGGTTTATAAAGATCAGTAGAGACCAATACTTTTATTTAAGAGTGAAAATCACTGATGTAAGATAAGTGTGTCTTAAAAGCTGAATGCTTAAGAAGGCTATAGGAAACGAGAAACAATTTAAAATGGACACCTTATTGAATATAATTTTTTCTTAATCTAGTTTGCATGAACATTCGGGAAGTCATCGTAGCGCAAAATGAAGCAAACACGAAACGGGAGACAGTTCAGTTATCGGTACTATTTCTCATTTTGTGTACGTTTATTTTGCGTTGCAATGACTTCCTCAAGGTCATACTTATTTTGGGAATGTCGATCACTCGCAAGAAAACTTTGTAATATTGCGTGTAATTATTTGTTCAATGGAACAATGAAGCAATATCTTTCAGAGAGCAGGGTAGTACAACGTTCTAAATGAACGACAATTTAAATGGTATTTATACTTGAACAACAAGCACACACAGACATACCATTCTCTCTTTTTCGTGCTCGAGAGCTTCAGCTGTGCCGCATTGCGATACGACGATATATATCCCAGTTTAGGTTAAATTTTCTGTCCACAGAAGAGGTAGCGCGAAACGTGTAAACGAGGATTCGGAGAAAAAGAAATCGTGAGCATGCTTGTTTGTGAGAAACGTCTATTCTTGGGAACACTACTTTGAGGAAAAGAGAAATGACAGTATAGAAAGGGGTGATGGTGAGGGAAAGTATTTACTTTTCTGACAACAGAGGGACCTGGCTGAAACTATTCATTGATACTTGGGTGCCTGCTATCACACATGGTCATATATATGTGCCTATCTGTGAAATAAACTAAGAATGACGGAATGGTAGTCATAATTTGGCATGAAGAGGCAAACATGTGATTAGGCCTCCCAGCGTCGCCGTAACACTAATGGAATGTCACCTGAAAGGGCACGAAAGGCCTCGGGATGTTCCCCAGGTCACTTAGCGGCCCCTTCAGCGTCGGGCCGGTCCTCGGAAGAGCGCTCGTACTGGTCAGCAGGCCCTTCGAAAAGGCGCTACTTCCGGTCGGAGAGATCTTCGGAAAGAATGAGCTTCCGGTCGGTGCTGTCCAAACTGGAACCGCGGCTGCGGCGGCTTGCGTTTCGGTCTTTGGGTGCGGGTTGTCTTTCGGCTTGTTCTCGTTCTCCTTGTTCTGCTCGTATCCCCTGCACAGATGGCAACCAGTCGTGGATGATAAACGTTAGACTTTACATTTAGAATTTTCGATGGAAGTGGAAATGCTGTACACCCGTGTGCTCAGATTTGGCTGCACGTTAACCCCAGATGGTCAAAATTTCCGGAGTCCTCCACTATGGTGTCTCTCGTATTCATATAGCGATTTTGTGACGTTAAACTTCACATATCAAGCATTCACATTCAGAGACACTTAACAATGACAGCGGCATGAATTAGCGAAAGGTTCGCCGATGTTTATGGCCAACATTCAGAAAAAGACAGAATTGTGTGGGCTATGGAATGCGTATGGGGCCGATAATAAGTGGCCTAATATAGCCACTGAGGCGCCAATGTAGGAAACTTTTCCACCGTACTGCATAATAGTTATGCCACCTACCTCGGTTGTCGCTGAGAATGTTTTTTAGTGAGCAATTTCATTTCACTGCAAGGAGCAACATGAAAGAAACAGACATAATAGAGCCAAGAAAACAGACTTTTGATAATTTTGTTGCATAATGTCACTCGGAAAACTTAAAACAAAAACAAAAAACTGGATCGAAGATTATTATTCTGCCTACTGCGAATTCTTAGAGAAGATTCATGTTATAGAAAGGCCAACTGTGTTTGAAGTTTTCGCTGTCCGCAAAGTATCGACTACGCGATTACTCAAACTTTTTGTGAAGTAGGACAGTACCCGCAATGCCATTATTCATCTTCCTGCGAATACGCTATATATCCGCTTCCCATTTGTTAAGTATCACGTATACTTTGTAGATGTTGCATGTGGCTGATGATGATGACGAATTATGTGTGAGCACTTTGCAGTGAATGGAGAGTATGAAGCTGCACACTAATTGCACAATCAGCATTGTGTGATGACTGTTCTTTATTTTACTCATCTGCAGGCTATATTACATAGATTAGGGTGATTTCCGTCCCCGGGTGACACCTGTATAGGATCTTTTTGAAAATAAATTAAGAGCAATATCGTGGCTCTTGGGGTAGAATATCGGACTGTTACACAGAGGGGCTGGGTAGGAAAACCCATTCGATCCTGGAAATTGTTTTCTCGTTTAATTTTCGTTATGCCTATCGGTAACTTTTTTATGTCTACTGGTTACGCCAACGATGGCGACGGTGACACCGCTCAACGCAAAAAAGCACGCTTCAAAGCTGCGTTCCAAAATGAACTTTAAAACGTGCGTCCCGCCTCGGTGGTCTAGTGTCTGGTGCTCGAATGCTTACGTTGCGGACGGTCTCAGTATTACCTGAAGGTCACTAATTTGCGGGCTGCAGCGGCCGCACTTCGATGTTGGTGAAATTCTAGAGGCCTGTGTTCTTAGATATATAGGTGCACGTTAAACAACCTCAAATAATAAAAAAATGGATTGCTGCTTTACGGTGTCCTATAATTATGTCGGATTTTAGGAGCGTAAATTTCGAACAATCAGCAAGTATTAATAAAGAAGGTACGTTTATCAAAACGCCTGAAATTTTGAAAGTTGTACGGAAAAAAATTAAAAAAAGATGAAAGATTAACATAATGAGTAAAGTCCGCTTATTCGGAGGAGAAAACCGTATGCACAATTTTTTTTGTGTTCAGTGATACTCGATTAGCGACCATGTTTAACGATGTACTGGACTGGCTCATGTAAAAATCCGTCGAATTTCGCGGAACTTTTGCGATACCGCAAGAGCTGTCTGGCGCATACAGCGACGGCGTCCCTACGCTTATGTGTTAAGAAAGCTTAGCCATGAAAGGGGCTTTTCCTCGAAACTTGCGCGTTCGAGGGAAAGAAGAAGGCACGCGATACCCACTTGTTTTAGTTATGGTTTTATTTTTTAGCTCAGCAAGGGATGATGCTTAGAGAAAGAAAGCTTATTTCCGGGTCTCGAAAATTACTTTGGACACATTTAAATGTTTCCGTTCACAAAACTTTGCGTGATAAAATGGCCCATCGCCATATGCGTAAGGCCCTAAAATAACACGGAAGTGAAGGCAATTTCAGTACCTAGAAGAACGGCGCTGGCTGCAAATATGATGGACTGAAAACATCGAAATTTAAAACCTCTATTTGTGAAGTCACCGACGGCACTTTTTTTTTTTTGCATCAGGGACACCTCTTATTGCCATTTTGTTTTTACTCCCTGCCTGTGCATGAAGGGATTCTTCGTGCGTGTGCATGAGTAAGATGAAAATCGTATGCTGTCAGCACATGATCTAACTGCTTTCTAAGAACGCCTGCGTGGTGTGTTCAGTCTCACGTGAGCAAACTGCCACGTTAAACGAGGGACAGGGTGCGATATTCGGAAGAAACATTCTATATGTATAGTGTAATCTCTCAATCACTCGGTCAAGTTGAGATGACAGTGATTAAGAAAAACAGCATGTCTGAACGTCAGTGACGTTTTGTGCGTCTTGTCTGAATCTTGAGAGTCAATGAAAGCTTCCCAAGTGCCGCATCGACACGACATGCTCCTGTGAAGCCATCGTTTGATCATAGTCACTTTATATCCAGTTTTATCATTCACAGCAGCTGAGCTTACTGTCTCCATCAAACTGTTAATTTGAGGACAAATGAATAGGGAGAGGCTTAGGTTTCGATGTGTCAAAATACCCGGCCACAGGAATGAAGACGCCAGTAGCCATCTAAAGGACATTCCTTTTTCGCCTTAAGTTAGGCTTAAGCTCTTCGATAATGCCAGGTATGCTTTGCGGTAAACAAAAAGAAAGTGGACGCGAGCTTATTAAGGCAAAATGAAGCCGGATGCGAGTGGCAACTAACCTGCGCACTTCGATGACCAACTCGGGGCAGCCGGACTCGACAAGAGCCATGGCTTCATCGTGGCTAAGGTTATCGCACGGCTGCCCATTGATGCAGATCAGCTGGTCGCCTTCGAGGAGCACTTGGTAGGCTTTACTCTTGCGCCGCGTCTGCGTGGAGAAGAGGAAGATATATTTAGATAGCGGCTCCACGAGTGATGAAATAAATTCAACTTTTAAGATGAGGCTTCAGTATAACAGAGGTACGAATTCCGAAATAGATTTCATTATGTGCATGAATCTAAGCATATTACCAGGTGTAAGAGTTGCAGGCGATATAAAAAAGTGGGCATCATAGGTTGGCGAGGGCCATGGTTATACTCCACTTCTGGAGCCAAAACAAAATTAAACGATAAGAAACAGATGACGTTGGATTTAATCAGGTTAAAACCGATGAATTCAAGATTGCAATGGAGAACAAGTACAATGTTTTAGAACAACAAGAAAATGAAGAGAAAAAAGATACGAGCGAAACTGTAAATAAAGTGATTTATGAAGCAGCAGTGAAAGTTGGAGGCATAGCAGCAAAGCGAGAATAAAGCAAACCACCTGACATCACTAAATACTTCATACAAACGACGACATACGAAAATAACTACATCCAGAGACAAAATATAATTTGCTGAGCTGTCAAAACTGCTAAAAATAAGTAAACACAACGACATACGGACTATGACGTCAAAGAGTTGAAGGCAGCAGCAAAGAAGAGTGGCAGCATCAAGGCAGCTAAAAACAAAAAGCGAACTCATATTTAAACACCCAAAATACATGCCGGGAAAAGTAAGTAAAGCAGTATTGTAAACAATTTTAATGACATAGGGAAGGCTATTGAGAACTATTACTCAAAACTGTACAGCTGCACTTACTTACTTCAAGTGAAAGGAAAAGCGATCATGAGACGAAGTCCCAAGCACAATTATCGACGACGTTAGAAAGTCGCTACAAGGAATGCCCGCAAAAAAGAGGCTGGAGACAACGGCATAGCTACCCATTTCTTTCATAAGATCAAAGCAACATTGTATTTATGGAGCTTGCAAAACAACAGAATATGCCTTGAAATTTTAATGTACGACTGATTAAAAAAAAGGCCAGTATTTTAGTAATATTCAAAGAAGGGAAACGTGCGTGACGGAAGAACTGCAAACAGATCCGCCTGTTTTCAGGGTTGTAACAAAATAATAACAAAGGTAATTTAAAATAGCACAAGAGTCACACTTGCTAATAAGTTGGCAAAACTTGTGGAGCTCACTCAGATTTACTCGTATAATATATTTTGCGCTTAGGGCTCACTCGAACTCAAACTCAACACAATTTTCCTGAGCAAGAGTCACTCAGACTTAAACCAACAAAAATGTTCCTCAGCCGGGCTCTTTTGGTCTCGAACACCAAAACAATACTCACCCGTACTAACTCAGACCCACTCACGGCGCGATCTGAGTCTAAGTGAGACTGAGTAAGTCGACTCCTAAGTCCGTTAACCTAGTTAACTTTGACTATAGTGTCAATGCTTTTTAACACCAATATCTTGCGTGATTGGTGCTCTTCTTGGCGCCTTTAATTATAGTACCCCTGAATACGAGTTATGAGTGCTCGCAAATAAGTAAGGTCCTTTTTCGGGAAAGAGACACCAACATACGAAATATTTAGCAAAATAAAAATGCCTGGTCTGCGCGGAACAAGCAGCACTGTCAGAGCCAAAGCTATAAGAGCGGCCTTTTAGAGCCTTTTCTAAACACTCATTGGGTAACTCCTGCAAGCACACTTGCTTGATAGCCACTAGGGCATTAATAATAAACTTTTGGGTAGCAGGCCGGCATTCGCAATGCCATTTTTTGTCATTCTTATGAGAATCGTGGTATCCGCTAAACACTTGCAATGAATTTCGTGCCAATTGTTCATGCAGTGGCTGGCGACGAAGAAGAATTATTCCTGGAGGGGGTATGTACCACAGTTAGTAGGTGAACAAGAACAGGCTTTTGTAATGAGTCGGATCATTGGATGGCCAACTTTTTACGCAATTCACATTGTCTGACGCCTGGTTGTTCCTTTGATGTTCTAAGACGCTCTATTACTCACGTTAACGCGATTACTTTCCGGACATCAATCCTGCCTAAGGCCAATTTGGAAATGAGGTGCAAGCACAGGCGTGGCTCAGTGGTGGAATGCTGGGCTGGCACGCAGCGAACCCGGGGTCGAATCTCATTGTGCCCTTGGTGTTCTTCATTTAAAGAGTTTTTTGTTTGTTTCTTGCGATACTGGTTACGGACGTAGGTGGCGGCGGCGGACAACTACGGTGCCGATCGTGACCCGTGTTCTGATCTGATAACAGCTTTCGCTGTAAAACTTCTCTAGAAAAGTAAATGAAAGGAGAAGCTCAAAGCTGCGCCTACGCAATTCGCGCCTATGATCAATACATTTGAAAATGCTGTATGAACGACAATGCTTTGAAATAAGTGTGAGTAAACTTGAGTACAAACGTGAAGCACGAATTCTTTACGAGCTAGTTCAGCTCTCTGTTATTCTAAACCTGTAGAATCAGGAAGAAGCTAGAGAAGTTAGGGCTCACCCAACCTTCGACGAAACAAAAAGTGAGGGGCAAGTCCAAAGACACAGCAAGACGACAAAGTCAATCACAAACGAAATGGGGTAGCCGATATCGTACTAAACGTTAAGAAGGGCAACATTGGGGAACCCTTCAGCTAACGCGAAAGCGACACCCTGTCCCCTAGTGCAAACGTGTTTGTATGGTTTCATACGGGAAGTTTAAATTGAGGATAGCTACAACCTCATCGATAAATTTGGAAGTGGCTTGTGACAGTAAAGCTTTCACATTATATGTAATGAGTAGTATGTTTTAAACTATGAGCCATCATGGGCGTGAAATGCTTCGGAACTTGCCCGCAACCACTACGTGGTCTTAAGGGAATACGTGCAGTAACGTGTATGCCTCTAGTAATGGGTGGCTGGCTTCAAGCCACGAAGTCGGCCACGCCGGTCGCATTTCGAAGTATGCGAAATGCCAGAGGCCCCTGTACTGAGCGACGTCAGTGCTCGTTAAAAAACCCACATGGTGGAAATTTCCGGAGCCCTTCCAATACGGCATCTCTCATAATCTTTTTATAGTTTGGGGCACTTTATGCCCCAGATAATATTATTTAACCACAAGGTCGTCATTATAATCACATATTCTGGCGCCCAATGGCAATGTACGCTTGTACCACACAATATTATTGCGATATTACATGTACTATGAAGCCTGTATGCAGGACTGGGGCGTTTATAAACGTGACTATTGTCACTGCATTTCCAAGAAAAAGACGTTGTTTTCACCGCATTTCAAAGCAGATGCGTGGTTGTGTGGTAGAATACCTGCTTGCTACGCAAACGTCCTGGGTTCGAATGTCACTGGGACTCGGAAACGTTTAGTACTCATTTTATCTACAGCATTCAAGATTTTTTTGGTCACGGACAAGGCTATTGTTTTCTCACAGCCAACGGCGCCCACAGTCTGCCTCGGTTAAACAGTGGCTATGGTGTTCGGCTGCTGACCGGTCACGGTTTTGAACCCGGCCATGGCGGTCGTATTTTGATGGAGGCGAAATGGCAGAGGCCCGTGTCCTGTGCAATGTCAGTGGACGTTAAAGAACACCAGATGGTCAACATTTCATTTGCGGAGCCCTCCACTATGGTTTCCTTAAAATTATATTGTTGTATTGAGATGTAAAACTCCAGATATTATTGGTATTGTTATTTATTACGCCAACACCGAGGCTGACGCTGAAATATCTGCGAAACGAGCTGCTTAACACTATTGTGTTAAAATGGATCTGGGCAGGTGAAGTCATGAGGGGACAAATAGCAGACGGTCAGTTAGAATGCCGGAACGGATATCGAGAGATGGGAAGCGTGGACGAGGATGGCTGTGTGTTAGCTGGAGCGACGAAATTAAGAGGTGTTTTTGTTGCAGTGAACATAAAAAAAGGGCGATGATGACGGCGATGCTCATGATTATCAAACGAATGAAACTTGGGTGAGTTGTAAGAACTAGGGAATGTACTTGAAGCGCGAAAAAAGGACGAAGGCCCAAGAATGTCCCGTCTGTCCTAGCTTCTGGCTTCGCGTACATTATTACATGTCTAGTATACATGAAAGAGTCGTGATTACTTTCAGGAATCAGAAAAAAAGGGTCGTAGGCTACATGCGATGGGGCTACTCTTTAGGTGAAATTGTCGCACCATGGTTATCGCGGGTACCATTGACCTTATTTGGATCTTTCGGAATGAAATCGCACCGACAAGAACAAGGATGGCAAATGGCGTTTTACGCTTGGCGAAAACGGCCGTTTCGTTAGTGAACTTTTGCACTTAACATGTGGTCGTCCAAACACGGCGGTTAAACGAGTATTTGTCACGGCTGTCACCTTCAGCGTCTGAGAACGAGAACAAATATTCGAAGCTTCCTCCACATATACTGGGCAGAGCCATTAACTTTACGCTTGCGTTAGTAAAACTCCGTCAACAAATGAATCAGTTTCATATCAATTTTTTGGACCCACTATTTTCTTGAACAGGCAACGAATTTACGTGGCCTGATTCAGGAGGTACAACTAAACAAGTTTTGGGCCCCCTCGAAGTGCCTCTCATTAAGAGTTGTTAAGCGTCGGAATGTAAACACGGAGGGGAGCAATAACTGAAATAGGGGTGTCTTTTAGACAATCTTTGGAGAGTTGACCGTGGCTTGAAGTTTCTGTACCCGACTTCAATAGCATTGTCGTTCGAACGCGTTGTGTGCGGGTTCTCTTAAGCTTTCTGGGGGGCACAACACATAAGCATGAAGCGTACGATGAGATAACAGCTAAATAAATGGCGTTCACAAAAGAAGCACCGTGTCGTGTAAGATTATGCTTGATATTTTTAAACAAAGGAAACTTACGAATGAATCACAGAAGTGTGTTTTTTCGCTCATCTCGTCTATTTTGAGCTCCTTTTTACCTTTTTTAAATGAATAGAAAAGAAAACATAACGGAGTATGAAAAACGGCACACGAAGAGGAGGCTCATTTAATAGAAAAGATATGCTGAGAGGTAGGCCTGGATTGAAGTGCCAGCCCGC